GTTCATCGCCGAGTCGAACCTTAACATGCTTTCCCCCCCGTTTTATCTGAAATATGAAAGGCCAAAAAAAAAGCATGTTAGGGCGCGCTTGAGGTTTCGTCCTTCTCATTTTCTGGCGGGGGAGTTTTCTTTCTGCTCTTTGTTGATTTTCACTTGTTGCATATACTCATCCGAGCAACCTTAGAATGTCGAGGTGCTTGTGGGAGGGACACTTCATGATTTCTATGGCTAGTTGTGATGACTCCCAAGTTCTTTTCGAAAAGTCTTCGTCTTTTGTATTCCTTTAGCTGTTCTTACTTGTAGCTTGTTTTTCCTGGTAAACAGCCATCCATTGTTGTATCATTTATGTGACTTCTCGAGCAGAATCGCTCAATGATAGATTCATAGATAGAAGGTATACGTATACTATGGTAGGTGAAGATGAGTAAGGTGCAATTAGAGCTGGAAGACCCAATAATTTTTATGAAAATGAACACGCAAAAGCAACGAACAGGATGACAAACGTAAAATTGATGTTGATCAATGGTAATACCGATACCATCTATCATAAGAGTTTATATTTGATAATATGGATCAATTGTCCCAACGCGAATCCGACGAACCTAAAATCTATATGGTCACGAAGTGAGCACCGTGAAAATGATATCAACGAACAGCGAGAATATCGTGAGATGACCACCCGAAACAGCATAAGACGGACATAGAGAAAAGAAATCCAAGCCTTGTGAAATACATAGAAGCCGAAGACAGAGTATAGACAGTATGCTGAGTGCACCAGATATCAAAGTAGCCACCATTTTACGCTGGGCAGTTATAATAGATGCCTATTGTTTTTCAAGCCAGCGTAGGGATTGATAGCAATGAGCTATCATATATCTATATAGCAAACCACGTGGTTCTCAGTAAATGAGCTCAGAGTTCCGCTAGGCTGGAAAGGTCGATATAAGATGGGCAATCGCCACACCAAGTAGGATAGAGATTGGGAAATAGATAGAAAGAGCATGATAACGATGATGAGAATAAATCAAAGTGTAATATAATGAATTATAGAGCTCTTTGTCTTCATCTCAATGAATGCTCAAACACGACTTCAGACGGGCTGAGACAAGATATAAAGGATGTTAAGAAAGCAAAGGGACGCGGCATAAAGGAAACCACAAATATCATTGTTAGGTTATAAGTTTATCTCTACCACTTCCAAGTCTATAGATATATCGATTATGTAGGTGTAATGTGGTTACATGCCATTTAGAATCTGGGCGTTCCCTCTATCTAGAGAGACATCATGGATTATAAGACCTTCGGCTTTTTACTTAAGTAATTTTTATGTTTGAGTTTTTAAATACACCAGAAATAAATAGCATCAAGGACCTAAAATACAGCAAGAAATATGGATCAAATCAGATAGATGTGCAGCATTATGTCGTAAAAATAGATAGAAGATAGTCCAAGAACATTGAATATTAAGGAAAAGAAACAAACACCATGTAACTCGTAGATGCCTTCAGTCTTTGAACTCCGGCCATGCTTGACCCGCCCACGGGTTAGACCCGAAACCCACCCAAAATGTAAAAACAAGAACCTGCAGCCTGACGCGAGAAGAATGTAGTCCGAAAGCGAAAAAGATTGACCTGGTAAATTCAAACGCCGAGATTAGTTAATGATGGCAAAGCAGAACTAGAACATAACAAGGTTAGTAATGAATAACCCCCCAAATAGATATCATAGAGGCATACATTATGTGCTGATAAATGTATCATTTAACTTTGAGGTTGGGCGGGCATCACGCCAGACGTCGTCGGGGAGGGAAAAAGTATGGTATAGAAACTAGGGTAGGGGTGTTCAACGAAAAGGCCAAGCTTTGTATGTGTTGCTTGTTCACCGAGGAAGTTTTTTGTTGGCGGCGACAGTTCTAAATTCGACTCTCGGCTGGTAGTGGGCAGCACCACCGTCCTCAAGCCAGGGTCCGAGATTCTTGCATTGACTGACATCAAAAACCTGGAGTTGATGACAGCCCTCCGCAACAGCCTCGACACCCACTCCAGTGACTCGAACACAACCACGGACCGATAAATGTTGAAGAGAAAGTAGGTGGAGACCGATGCTCCGGAGTGAGGGGTCGGAAATTGCAGAGCCGCAGAAAGCCATGTTGAGATACTTCAAATGTGAGCATTGCAAAGCAAGGACCTCGGTTGCTGTATCTGACAATGCGCAGCAGAAAGTCTGGTGGCAATTAGTAAAGATGATATTTCACTTTTGGTTCGACAGAGCCCGGAAAAGACTAGACTTACCAGATCTAATTCCTCCAAGTTTTTGGCTGCATTAGTGAGATGCACGATGGCGTTGTCCGTCAAATACGTGCAGTCCGCTAAGCAAAGCTTTCGCAGGTTGGTGAACTGAGCATTCCCCCAGTATTTGAACCCTTGGTCTGTGATTGTGGTGCAACGAGTCAAATCCATTTCCTCAATCCGACCAGCGGCGTGAGACGCAATATGATGCATAGATCGATCAGTGACATGTTTGCAGTAAGAGAGTGTGAGCTTCTTCAACTTTGGACAGCCGTACACCATACATTCTGCTGTCTGGATTGTGGGTTTGATCGATGACTGTTTCTCGCCCATCTTCTGGTCGGCGGGCACTACCCATCCAATGATCCGAGCGAGAAGTGTATCTCCGACCTTGCGGCAATTGCTCAAGTCTACCTCCTGCATATTAGTGGCTTTGCTGGACATGTCAAGAATGGCAGAGGCCGTGACATCCCACACACTCTTCATCTTCCACACGGTGGTATTTGGGGCGCAGGTCGCGGCCAGTGCCATGAAGCCTTCGTCGGTCATGTGAAAGCAATTATTGATATTGACCGACCGAGCTCGATTGCCGACAAAGGGACAGATAATTTTCACAAGAACATCATCTGTAATCCTGCGGCTGTAGACGCTCAAATCTAGATCGTGAATCACGTCCGCAGATCTGGTTAAGAGCTCTGACCAATGGGACGACACAGCCCTAATCCGAAGAAGGTGATGGAGTTCAAGATGTTGGAAAATGCTCAGCAGGACACTATCTGGGAGTACTCCATTGGAGCCATCGATCCGGGGCCGTTCGGTCTGATATGACTTAAAGGGGCTAGCAGTTTCGGGAAGGGCAAGGGTCGAAGAACTGGCAGAGCGCGGCTCCGTAGGAGATGAGCGCTGCTGCTCCCCTGATACTTCCTCGGGGGATAACGGTGCTAGCGAGCCGCGTCGACTTCGCATCCGAACTTTATCAAGGCCAATGCTGAGGTATGGGTCGGGATCGGAGGGCCGCAACACATCCTGGTCTTGGTCTTCAACATGCGAGGACTGATGTGGTCCATCCAGTTCGGTTTCAGTGAGGGTAAGTAGTGGCATTGACCGTCGCCGTGATGATGCGATCTTGACTTTGTCGTCGAGGGCAAGATTACCAATAGATGGTTGCGAGTCCGCCTCGTCAGACATGACAATATCACCATCGGCTGCCGCCTGGAGCCTTGCTTGGGCAGTGCGTTCAACTTGTTCCCGCACGTCACTAGGGCATTTCTCCCAAAATTCAGCAAGGACGTCACCGCTGAGCATCAAACACTCAACTGAAGTCACAGATCGAACTGTAGCGGTTCTTCGAGGTGCCAAATCTAGGCTGACCACCTCGCCAAAGTACTGGCCTTGCTTCAGCCTAGCTTTGACCTCAATTCCCGGCCGTTCAATGTGTCCATTTGGGCTGTTTCTGTTTGCTGGGTGGGTCGTCTCCGCCTTTTCCGTAAGAACCTCGACCTCGCCGCGAACAATGAAGTAGAGCTCACGGCCCTGAGAATTTTGTTGTATGATGTCGGTAAATGGAGGGAAAGATCGCGGCTGGGCGTTAAGACCAAGATAGTGGAGGATATCGGCAGGCAGCCCAGAAAAAAGCGGCAGCTCTTTAAGTAAGAGACGTACATTGACCAATCCATTTGCCAATGCACTAGAGCCATCTCGCCGACCGGGACTCGGTGACTTCCTCTTCTTGTACACAGACTTGGCGCTCAAGTCCCCATCATCCTCTATAACAGCTAGGTCTTTTGAAAAGCTCTCGCGCAGTCTTTTTGAACCTCTTCGTGCCGGGCTCGGCAGATCCAGAGCAGGCGCGGAGGTTTCTTTTTTTTTCTTTTCTAAAATCATCAACCGCTCCTCTGCCTCCTCCCGGATCGCCCGTTCAACCTCCGGGAACCGAGGCAATATATTCCGAAAATCGTCTTTTGTCAGCACGACCAGCATGCATCGAGTCCGGGCGATAATGGTCGCAGTGCGAGGACGGTCCATGAGCAATCCAATCTCCCCGAAGAACGCACCGGGTTGGAGTTCGGCGTATATACTCTCGCCATCCCGAGATGTGACCGAGACGGCACCCCGCACCAGCCAGTATATTGCCTTTGCCTCATCGCCTTCCGTCAAAATATAATCGTTGGGTGCGTGGAGCTGTGGGCGCAGGTGCTGTCCGACCTCGATCAAAAAGGATTCCGGAGTAGCTTGAAACAGCGGGAAAGACCGCAACCGATCTACCAGTTCCAAGGGCAAAGCTTTGATGTGGGAGGAGGCCAAGGGTGAGGGACGCGCGGGTCGGTTTGGGTTCATGACCGAATCGAACGAACGTATGAGGGATACAGTGTCGGACAAGGGCGAGACGGCCTTGGTAGGACCTCCACTGGACCTGCCATGACGACGCATTGTGATCTAGAAATTCTGAATGAGGATGTGAGGTTGTTTCAATTATTTCTCCCAGGCATAAAGAGGTCAATAAATCGATGACGTCGACGAAAGCAGCGTCGAACTTCGCATCGGCATCTTCAGCGACCAATTGCTATCGCGGAGTTTAACGGACACACATAAATGTAAGGTATAGAGGAGAAGCAAGGATTTGGGAAAAAAAGGTAGATGACAAGTTCAAGCTAAGGTCTTGAGGTGGGGGGTTTTCCGAATCAGCGACGTCAAATGCGGTTTCTCCACCGATCACCTGGGAGCCTTCGGAAACTCTATGAGGACCTCCACTTTGGGATTTGGGTGAAATTATTCTAATCTTCTAGATCAATGTTGATATGGATGCATATTGGGTCTGAGGGCTTTTTTCTTTTTTTTTAGTGGGGGACGTCAGCACTGAGCGGTCAATCATTCTTTGAACCTGCAGCATCCGGGCCGATCTTCTCTATCTGTTTTTTTTTGGCTTATCCCCGGAAACAAAGAAAAACACCAATGGGGGAAAATGTACGGAATAACTAGGCTTCGTTGTCAGGGTCTTTAATCTGCTGATTTACTTTATTCTATACATATTTGTGTTGTGGCAGCCATCAGACTTGTCTTCACGTTGAATTATATTACTTCCAGGGCTAGGTACCCACCCAATATCCCTGCATCTGGATTAATTCTTTAACTTGCTGATGAACACCCACGAGATTCTAGTCCAAATGCAATCTAGTCACGCCACAATGGCGTTGCTAATCGGCTTGGGGCATGGTCATACTACAACACAGAATCCGGCGATGGGTCACGTGTCCCTATGTAGCAGCACAAGGGCAAAAATGTTCATCTTGTTGGATGCTAATCGGACAAGTGGGTATCAAAAAATACAAATAATAAAAGTAACCAAGATGTAACCAAGACTATGGTGTGAGCGTCGGTGCCAAGGAACATGATCAGATGGAGAGAGGCCCGGGTAGTCACCAGACTAGATATCTCAGAGCGGCTCGATGAAGGCCTAAACATAGTACTTGGGGCTGCATTGAGTCGGATATGTGGCTCATCTCATCGGCATCGAATGCATATCGCCTGCAATATCATGCATAGCGGCCATTTCTCGATCGAACATCGAAGAGCATCTTAGGGAGCGGAGTGGGAGAGCTTATGATATAGGTTCCCAGCATTGGGGACATCTCAAGCTTGTAGCGAGACTGGGACTTCCACACACAGAAGGATCTAAGGATCCGTTGTAATATGGCCAACCTATAATCAGATTGATCCTTCTTTTTTGACCTTAGACCGACGGTTACCGAGGAAAAAATCAACATAGCCAGGACGGTTTCCTTTCAAGGTCTCAAGGGCATCTTGCAAAAGACCATAGGTCAAGCTCAATTTCAACCCAAGCTTCGCTGTGCGGGCGGCAGTGTAAACATCGTGACGAGCTGTGTGAGCAAGCTAGGTCAGCTTCGGTTGCTCCAGTAATAATACCCTGGCAGAATAGTTTCCTTACCAAGCAAGCTGTATATTCCAGAGAATGACAGCCCAGCAGTAACTGTCGATAAAAAGTCTCTCTCGTCATGCCGAGCATAGTCCACTGTCTCCTCGAACAGACAGAAGGCAAGTGCGCCAGCACCGAGCTTGAATCCCATCTTCATGCCATCCTTAACGCCTCCAACCACACCAATATAGTTTTTCGTTTTATGGTACTGGAACCACCCTGTTGATGTTGTGGGGAAACGATGCGCATTCTCAGCCCTGAACACAAGCCCTGCCTTTTTGCTACCGTGGTAGTATCCTAGTGCTAGCCCAGTTGAAAAAGCGGACATGGTAGCATACGGTAACCGCTTGCCGAACTCAATGCCTAACCGTGGAGGGCTGTCGGATTCAAACAGCTTGTCCCAGTGGACAATCTTGAGGACGATAGAATTATGCTGTGAGGAGTCGGTAGATGGGGGTTGATTGGCTTCCATGATGAAGCCTGTCAAAGGAAAAGAGGGCAACCGCAGCCAACTTCAACGTTCTGTTGTAAAGAAAGTGGTGAATGTGAGTAACTGGTGCTGGCAAAGCTCAGAAATTCGGAGCGCGGAAGTCGGAGTCTCGCCGGATTCTCCGCCTTCCGTCACTCTCCCAAATCAATCATCACATGGATGCAACCTGCCCTTTAATTCCCCCGCAATCCCCAAGATGGTATGTGAATCGACCCTTTCAAACTAAGATTATTGAATACAGAATAGCTAATTACCGAACAGCCGCCTAAGCAATCCAAAACTGACTCGCGCGCTGTGACCATCCTCTTCAAGAAGCATAAAACCACCGTGCTTCTGATGCTCCAACCCCACGAATCACTCAAAAACACTAAATCAAGGCTTCTGGATGCTCTAAAATCCCGAGAAGTCACCGCCATAAATGGCGACATTGTTCCTGACGACTCCGTGGAAATTGAGTTCGGTGAACCTGTCGACCGAGCAGACCTCGAGAAAGGCTGGAAGCGCCTCCAGGTAGATGCGTCACAAAATGAGTCAGTAACTATAATGGAAGCGGGTCTGCAGAACGGACATTCAATTGCCTTCCGTTTCAAGAAATCCACTGAGAGTCAGAATGGCGGTCTTGATATGGACCTTGACGGTGAGGATCCAGGCTGGGATGTCATCATACCAAGCTACGAGGAAGAGCCGGAGAAAGAGCTAGGGCAATTATGACTTGAGAGAAAGAAGTAGGTCAGAGGACACATGTCTATGGCTTTCGGCGTTTCAAGGAGAGGGCTTTAGTGATTCAACCCGTCATATGGCGTTTGTTCAGGCGAAAAATGGGATTAGGACAACAGCAATACTAAAAGCGATGTTTCTCGCGTATAACTTGTCCATAACTCTAGGGTGCATCTACACGCTGGTAAAATACTCATGTAAGTAATTTTAGGGAATATATAGCAATAATCGACGTCATAATAATATCATGATCATATTAAGCATCCAAAGGTTAATAATATGCAAAGCCTAATAACCACCCGATCTTGGGCATAGGAAGATAGTGAGTGTGAATAGAGTTAGCAGGACGTCTACAATACCTGAAACACAGAGCACATGATGCGACTAGGTACCGTTAGTGTCGGATCTCTTGTATTGCCACACCCAAATGATCAAACACCACTATAAAACGGTTGCTCGGAGCAACCACTAGATGACAACACGCACGCGCATCAACAAATGAAATCGCTTCAAGTAGCCCCCCCTCGGAGAATACCTGCACCCCCTACCCCATACAACCTTAGATCCATTCTTCGACTCTTCTACATTCCTTATCTTCGACAGCAAATAGCTAAGCTTTACCCTTGGCCTTGCCATTGCAGGGTGTCGACAACTACCTGACGTGCCGGCCCCGCAGAACAGCTCCACGACTTGGGGTTGATCCGACCCGACCTTCCGAAATGGCTGCCTCCGATGGCGCTTCCTCGATCAGCGTTGCAGTCAGAGTCCGCCCTTTTACTATCAGGGAGGCAGCCCAGATCACACGATGTGACGAGGGTCCCCTGTTCCTCGGCGACGGTTCCCTCGCGGGTGCGCCGACACCGAAGCTTAACCAGAAGGGTATACGATCTATCGTCAAAGTAATTGACGACCGCTGCTTGTGAGTATACTATGAATATTGAATATTGGGTCCAACATCCTAACTGGACTAGGGTGTTTGACCCCCCTGAGGACAACCCTGTCCAAAAGTTCTCCAGGAGCGTGGTACCAAATGGTAAGCGTGTCAAGGACCAGACCTTCGCCTTCGATCGCATCTTCGACCAAAACGCTTCCCAAGGAGAGGTGTATGAATCTACAACACGCAGCCTACTCGACAACGTTCTCGATGGATACAATGCGACGGTATTTGCGTATGGAGCTACTGGATGTGGAAAGACCCATACGATCACTGGAACTGCCCAACAGCCCGGTATCATCTTTCTCACTATGCAGGAGCTGTTTGAGCGCATTGATGAACGAGCAAGCGAAAAGTCGACCGAAATTTCTCTTTCGTACCTCGAGATCTATAACGAAACCATTCGTGACTTGCTTGTCCCTAGTGGTAGCAGTGGAAAGGGTGGATTGATGCTACGGGAGGATTCCAACCAGTCAGTCTCAGTCGCTGGGCTGTCAAGTCACCACCCGCAGAATGTGGGAGAAGTGATGGACATGATCATGCAAGGTAATGAACGCCGCACCATGTCTCCTACCGCAGCCAATGCCACTTCATCCCGATCGCATGCCGTCCTTCAAATCAACATTGCACAAAAGGATCGAAATGCGGACGTCAATGAACCTCACACCATGGCCACATTCAGTATCATCGATTTGGCGGGAAGTGAGCGTGCTAGCGCGACACTGAACAGAGGAGAACGTTTGTTCGAAGGCGCCAATATCAACAAGTCTCTTCTGTCCCTAGGAAGCTGCATCAATGCACTTTGCGACCCACGAAAGCGCAACCACATCCCCTACCGAAACTCAAAGCTCACTCGATTACTCAAGTTTGCTCTTGGTGGCAATTGCAAGACAGTCATGATTGTCTGCGTCAGCCCCTCAAGCCAGCACTTTGATGAGACACAAAATACCCTTCGATATGCGAACCGGGCAAAGAACATCCAGACCAAGGTCACACGGAATGTGTTCAACGTTAACCGACACGTGAAGGACTTTTTGGTCAAGATTGATGAGCAAATGAATTTGATCAATGAGCTCAAAGCACAGGCAAAGGACTATGAAAAGGCGGCCTTCGCTAAGTTCCACAAGCAGGGTGAGAAGAAAGACGCTGTTTTGCGCGAGGGTGTTGCCCGAATTCGCAATGCTTACGAACACACGTTGCCTGAGAGACAAGAGAAGACCGGCAACATGCTGAAATTGAGGCAAATTGGCCGCAGAATTGGGATTTTGTCATCTTGGATTGCGGCCTTTGATAATGTTTGCGCCGCTCGTGAAAATGAGGAGGGATTATCAAACCTGTATGCCGTTCGCAAATCTGCACAGGGGATCCTCCTCGAACTGGAAGGCAGCAGGCATCACTACAACCAGAAATTATCGAAAAGCACATGGGACCGACCGGTGAACTCAGCAGTCGAGAACGCGGCAAAGCAGCTTCAAGAGTTTGACATTACCGATAACAGCGACTACGCCAATCTGAACCGGGAAGCGGATCTTCTTCGGTCCAATGCAGAGCGCGAAGCATTGACTGCTGTGATAGAACAGGACAAGGCTGGAGAAGCTGCCGCCGTACAGCTTCTGTTGCAAGCACAGTTTGAGATGATGAACTCTATCGAGGATATCATGCAGCTAAATGCAGATGAGGCTATTAAAAAGGGGCGGACCATCCTTACAAAAATGCTAGAGGATTGTGCAGATGCAGCAACCAACCTCGTCAAACCAGATGGCACGATGCCGTCTGTACCGAATTTCAGCTCTGCCAGGCCTGCAAGCCCCACGAGAACAAAGAAGCGCTTCAGCTTAGTGAGCTTGCCACCAGTATCGACTGCCAACCCTCCAGTCACACTCACCCCTTCTGCTCCTGCCTCACCAACTAAGGGCTCTCCACGTCGCCGTAAAGCCACTGCCGGTCGGAAGAGTGTTAGCTTTTCGCCAAAGAAAGCCCAGTTGAAGATTCCCAAACGATCTGTCCGATGGAAGGACGATGAAGAAGACGGCACATTGACCGAATTCCAAAAGACCCCCAAGAAGGTCGAATCTGCCGAAGAAGCCAGCTTCGAAGAGTCATGGTTGCCACCTCGATCGGGATCTCCCATTCCACGAAATATCCCCAGAGTTATAAGCCCGTCGGGTTCTATCTCTCCCACCCCTGACGAGCCTGCCGACTCCGCTGGACCTAGCTTGAACGTTCAAAAGAACAATAGTCGCTTTAAGGCAGGATTTTTGACTAAGAGAAATGGCAGCTCACCATTGGCACCACCGCCTACATCTAGCCTTCCTCTTTCAAGAAGAGACAGCTCCCCACTGCGTGATATTGAAGGAAGCAGCTTTATGAACCGCACCTTGACGGACCGTCCATCACGAATTGCTGTTCGTAGTCCCAGCGGGAACTTCTCGAGCAGTCCAGTATCTGAAAACAAGAGCAACTGGAAGTCGGATAAGGAAGAAGCAATTAAGATCAATTCGGCCATGCGACGTATGTCTAGTGGGCGGATTGCTAGCGGACAATTCAGCGCTCCATCCTCCAATGCTCTGCGAGTTCACCGTCGTCGCAGCCCGACTTCCAATGCCTATGGGGCCTCGCCAGCAGACAACCACATGTTCACCGCATCACAAGCGCGGCGCATGGTCAAGAGTGAGAGAGAACACGATGCCAAGCCTCGAGTCTTGAGTCCTCATACTCTCCCAGTCATGAAACACACGGGACGCCGCACAACATTGGGTGGAGACGGTCGACCTCGAACTATCAGCCTATCCAGCAGGGATGCTATTCGTCTCAGTGCGATGGCAGCGCCACCTACCGACCACAACTCACAAGCGTGGTAGTGGACTTTGGTGAATGTCTTCGAATTCTCCATGAATGGGTTTGATTTTTTTTTTCAATTGTTTTCCAATTGTTTGGAATTGGCGTTTTGTTGGCGTAGCAGATACCACATTTTTTTTGTACATTTGTACGACTGAATTCTTATTGAATTTTAGCCTGTCAGTTCTCTCAGTTCTTGTATTGTTGAGATTCAGCTGGGCAGCTTTGTACAATAACCATAACAATCAGATAGGGTTGCCGGAAGCCCTAAATTTCACTGCCGAATTCCCCGCGCTGCTTTGTAAAGAAATGACGCCATCGCGAAGCTATGCTCGAGCTCCCTTCTTTTTATTCTCCTTTTTTCTTCTTCGTTTCTATTCTACCATTCTTACCTTCCATCCATTATCTTCAGACTATTTCCTTTCCATTACTGCTACAGCACTCTCTACGGCCCCTTTCACTGCCGAACCCGCGAGCATCCCCACTTATCAAGTACGTCTCCACCATCACCAGAATTTCAGCAGATGACTTTCGCCGCTCCGGTTGCCTCGACCCTTTTCTCACGCTTCTTTCGTTCTTTCTCCACCAGCTCAGCTTTTCCCGTGACGCCAGAAATACAATCCCGCAAAATGTCAGACACACAGACCGCGACCGTAGCAGCCGGCTGCTTCTGGGGCGTTGAGCACCTGTACCGCAAGAATTTCGGCAACGGCAAAGGCCTCCTCGATGCCAAGGTGGGCTACTGCGGTGGCGCCGCTTCGTCGCCATCATACCGAGCTGTCTGCTCCGGTTCAACTGGCCGTAAGTGATGTGCTATCTGAGACAAAAAAACAAAAAAACGCGGAGTTTCTTATCGCGATCGCATCTTCATATACTAAATTTTTTTTCGCTCTCCGCAGATGCCGAAGCCCTCCGGATAGTCTTTGATCCCTCTATTGTGACATACCGTCAGCTCCTTGAATTCTTCTACCGCATGCACGATCCCACAACAGAAAACCGTCAAGGTCCGGATGTTGGCACACAATACCGCAGTGCGATCTTTACGCACGGAGAAGAACAGCAGAAGATCGCGGAGGATATTACAGAAAAAGTCAGCAAGGAGTGGTATAAAACGCCGCTTTCTACCAAGGTCCTGCCGGCAGGCCAGTGGTGGGATGCGGAGGAATATCACCAGCTCTATCTTCAGAATAACCCTGCTGGTTATGAGTGTCCTGCTCAGTATGTGCCCATGTCCTTTTTTCCATTTGACGAGGTCGCTAACTTGTCGCCTTCTAGCTTTATCCGACCTTTCCCGCCTTTGTCGGATTGACTAAATTCCAAGTTGTAATTTATCTTAGCTCATATCTTCATAATTTGTACCTCAAGAAGAGTGAATGCAAATGTCAATACATATAATACGGAACTTGACGCTTGTCCGGATTGTATGTTTTAGTTTAGGTCTGGATTTAGTGCCCAAAGCCGTCTATACGTAGGTACATAGTGTGTATAATGTAAGTTGCTCGACAAGGGTACGTAATGGGGTACATGGGTATTTACTTCAAGGGTTATACCTTGCAGGCACTACGACGTACTACCTTCCTCCAAATCATCACTGAAAACAGCCCCCGACGGTATTTCAATCTTGCAAGGAACGTTTGAAGTTCTTGCCTATTTTCACTACATTGCGGCCCCTTGGGGGTAGCCACTAAGTGTACGTGGCACAACAGAATGGATTGAATTCATGTCTTGGCCCTCGGTGAAAGTGACATCCAGAGCCTCAGCCTCTCACGCGAAGACCCCGTTCTCCCAGTAATGTTCCAGGGTCAGACAGCCTCGTGTAGTGCAGCTGATTGTGGAGCCACGTCAACACCACTACCTCAACCTCGTTGCTCGTGTTGATGCGGGGTTGGAAATGAGGCTCTACCGTGGAAGAGGAGAGAAGGGAGTATAAATAGGACTGTTTCTCCTGTAAGAATTACATTGACCATTGACAATAAATCTCTTATCAAATTTATATTCTATTGAAACATTGTTGATCCTATCTATCATGGGTCGAGAACAGATCATTCCAAGCAGCGATCCTCGCAAGAACGCCCTTGACTTTGTGACCGACAACGGCCAGCATACTCTTAGGGTGGAAAAGTTTATCGAGGCTGGTCGACCAAGTGGTGGCGACTCGCACAACTCCTATGGGACGCACTATACCACGCCTAGTGTATAGATGGCTTATGTGTGAAACTTTAGCTATTCACATTCTAACCATTCGTTCTAGGGACAAGAATCGTACGCGCCTGCTATTAAGGGCGTCTCGGGCCACGTTGTCGAAACAGGACAGTCGTTTACCGTCCGCGATGACTACGATTTTGACAACCTCTCTGATAGCGGGAAGGGGTACCATGTGAATGCGCAGCTGGGCAAGGCGACAGTAGCCTTTACATCGGGCCAGAATAGTGCTCAGGCCTATTACGACCGAACGAACATGACGGGCGAGAGGTTGTATTTCGACGGGGAGCAGAATGCTGCCTCGTGGTACACGAGGGGTCATTCGTGCTGAATCATCTGCACGAGGAATCCGGCAACTCTATATATAATGATGTAGTTTGCTCTGGGTATATGCTGCTATATACGGGAGTCCTATTCTCTATAGTTATAGAATGAATAGCCTTGCGTTTCTCTATCGCTCGGCCCGAACCCCTCACGATTCGGTATTGGCATGTCATAGCACCCCTTGGCTAATCACTAATTCCTCTCATCTAGTACGATAAAATTAAGAAACTTCGTCTTCTATGCTAAAAACTCACACTTTAAAGGTGTAATTTCATAGCTTCTTATAAATGTGAAAGCGATTCTCGAACTTATGATTAATACTCGTTGAGAGGTTGCTATAAATCCTATGGTAGGTAAGTGCTACTATCTATAGATGTATTGATTGTAGTGTCCAACCGGCGCTAACAAGGGTGAAAATGTCACTTCTTTAGTGGGAAGGGAGATTAAATGACAGTGTTGGCTGCTAAAATCAAACACAGAGGAATATATAATCTGTAGATTAACTGATGTTGAACGGCGTACGGAGTATATTTGGAAGCCCTGGAGGTTACCTGACTGAGTGGATCTGATTGGGCGAAACAATCTTGGGCCCTTATCTTATCTAATCTTATCGGGCACATGGCGTCAACACGGCAGTGCGGTCAGCCTCGGTCTCCTGGAGCCCTCAAGCCGTTCCTCCCAACAGAACAGTCTCTTTCAACTCCCTGCATTAGTATACTCTGGCTAGTCGCTCCCTTAATTTTTCCTAGCATTAGCTCAGGTAGTAAATATTGCACTACAACACCCTCCCAATCCTCGACGAACTTGCTTGTTCCAAGGGTGACTTCCCGCAATCGCAACCATGGCTCTCTACGACCAAACTGTGGATTTCCTCTCTGGTGTCTTCTCCAACAAGCAGACTCATCTCCCCTTGCTAGCAGTGACTGGAGCTTCATTCACCCTTGGTCTACTCGCTGGATCGGTTTTCCCTCGAAACGAACCGCTCCAGACTGTTCTCGACTCGCCTCGGTCGACAGTCTTGCCCAGTATATCCGAGTCGGAGAATCGCCAACTACCTCTCCCGTCTGATGCTCTGCCCGGTGCTCGTGATGTCGCTAGCCCGTATGGGTCGATTCGAGTGTATGAATGGGGCCCGGAAGATGGACCCAAAGTGTTGCTCGTGCACGGTATCACCACGCCGTGTATTTCGCTCGGCGGTGTGGCCCATGCGCTGGCGGATCGCGGTTGCCGTGTGATGCTATTTGACTTGTAGGTGTTACACAATATTCAGCACTTGTATTTATCGCTAATCAAAGAAAACAGATTCGGAAGAGGATATTCCGACTGCCCTGCTGATCTTCCACAGGATGACCGCCTCTTCTCGACACAGATCTTCCTCGCTCTGACATCATCGCCTATCTCTTGGACAGGTGCAGAGTCCGGTAAATTCTGCCTTACCGGGTACTCTCTGGGAGGTGGTATTGCCGCCGCCTTTGCATCCTACTTTCCTCATCTTCTATCGTCATTGGTGCTCCTAGCCCCTTCAGGCTTGCTCCGCGATTCGCAAATCAGTTTCCAAAGTCGACTCCTTTATTCAAAGGGTCTTATGCCTGAGAATGTCTTATCATTCTTGGTTAGCCGTCGACTGAGAGCAGGCCCCTTGGTCTCGCCCAAGCCCAAGAATAAGAAGCTCAATGCTGCGGATGTACTCACCGAGGAACTGCCTTCCCAAAGCGCTGCAGCAACCCAAATTCTGTCCCGAGAATACCCCCAAATCAACATCCCGTCTACCGTGGCGTGGCAGGTGAATAATCATAGAGGGTTTGTCCACGCGTTCATGTCTAGCATGCGTTATGGTCCAATCCTACAAGAGCGCCAATGGAACAGATGGGCGCGTCTTGGCGAATATCTGACTGCACAGAACGGCACCTCAAGCAGCGAAAATAAGAGGCCGGCAGATAACAAGGTCCACATCCTGTGTGGCAACAATGATTTAATCATTGTTAAAAGCGAGCTTGTTCCAGATGCCACGACTGCCCTGGGTGGCAATGTTGTCTTCAAATTCTACGAAGCGGGACATGAGTTCCCTAGTACAAAGTACGAGGAAGTAGCATCTTATATCTTCGAGTTACTATAAACAAGGGGTTTCACGGACTCTGTTCACTCTTGGAGGGGAGGTTTGGGATAATGTTCATTGGACTTTCATTCGATTCGATTTGATAGATACACTATACATAGAAGTTGGTGTTGGTTTATTCGTTTTTTCATTCATTTGTTTTGGTTTCCTAGCTTCCAGTCTTCAGAATCTCCTCCATGGCATTGAGTTGACTTGATAGCCCCGTGAGGTGTGCCGATCTCTCTGGCATCCGCGCACCGGCGAAGTAAGGACCCTCGGAGGCTGGTGCTCGTGCAAATCGGTCCACGCTGCTGCGACTGCTTCCCGGCACTTGGCTGACGTTGCCTTGGCTTACGGCATTTTTACTGGTGCCGTTGGCAGCACTGCAGAAAAAGCCGGTTAATTGGTTGATAAAAGCATGCCTTTGAATATAGATATACTCACGTTGTGGTTCTTGGCTCCGGGATAGACATGGTGTGTGTGTGTGTGTGTGTGTGACTTGTTGTTGGTGATAGATGTGAGGTTCTCACAGGTGGTTCAGAGGAATCAAAGACTTGAGTCACCAAGAAGAGGCCCAGTAGAAAGAAGGAATGTTGAGGTAGTGTGGTGTGGTGTTCAAGAGCGAGGTATGTATTTGGCTTTGATCGGTATGTTTAGAAATGAGTTGTAGAGATGATGAACTGCTGAGTTGCTGAGTTGCTGAGCTGGTGATGACTAGGATACAACTGAGCGGGAGCTCCTATATATACGCTGCAGGTCTGACGCTATGCACGAGGACGGCATGCCTTTGCGGCCGAACACGCGAGCTTGAGCTTCGCATCACAGCCCACATGGACAGTACGAGCTAAAATGAAGGATTAAACAAGGAAAAGATCTTCATGGGCTGCATTGACTCCACCTGCCATGGGCCTGTGAGATGGCATCTCGACCCTTGAGCTCAACGTTCGCCAAGGCTCAGTCCGCATGAACCATGTCAGTTCGGGATTTGTTTTAGCGGGAACCCCCGAGGATCCATAGCAGAAAGCACATACCCGTTCGGCTCATCTATGCAAAACAAGCGACAAGCCCGTTGCTATTGGCTGAACTGCAGGTAACCGGGGCTAGGAGGCAGGTACCAGCCGCATAAGGATGCGTGGACTAAAGACCCACTCTTACGATCATCCTGAGCGTAAATACAACATTCTTTTACAGCACATGGTCAACCACATGTTTCAGGTCTAGGAAAATCCAGACTCTCGACATGTGTGGAATGAAGCGAGGGGGTGAAGTAAACATCAATTCCAGTTTCTGTAAACGGAGCTTCGACCGAGCTATCAAACAAGGGACAAGATCACGATCTCCATTTGAGAAAGAGATTGACGTCTTTTTTTTCAAGGGCCTAGAACTCTCTGAAACAATCAAATCCCGAACCATCCTTGGCGGCAAAAGCGCTTCACAATGGACATCCTCGCGTGGGGTTGACTACGACGCAAACCTCCAGGGTGAAACAATGTCGGGGGCTAACGTGGTTGATCACATGGCCATGTAATGACCCAGGGGCTCGGCTCTAAGAGGTCAAAAAGAGAAAAATAAAATAAATCAAGGCTCATGATGCTGCATTCCCCGGGCCACGCGCGCCTGCTGCAGGTTTCCTTCATTTCCCTTTCTTGACACTAACACTGCAGATCCCTCAACGGCGAGTCTGGATTAGGGCACGCTACTTTCGGCGCGAGATACTTTAATAGTAGAAGCTCCATACCAGCCATGCCTTGCCAGGTTTAAGCCCTAAGGGTTATTTGCATCACCATAATTTCAAATACAGGAATGCTTACGGAGTAGATACTGCATAGAAAGTCGGAGATCTCCGAAATGTGAGTGACTTATTTTTGAAAAGTCCAAATTTGAGCGTGCCTAAGAAAAGGGGGCCATATGGATTGCCTTGCTAACCCCAATTATGACGAGTCCAAAGGCCGGAACCATATCAGGAAGGAAAGCATCAGTAATAGCATTTTGCCTTCGAGTGCTAGCAAGACCTGAACCAAGTCGCTGATCAAAGGGCTCAGTCCTCAAAAGACGTTTGTTTGCGGGACAGGGCAACGGGCTTAGGCATCTAGCTAAAGGCTACCAAATGTGCTGACGCTGATCTCTACGTTGTAACGAAGCATCCTCGGAAATAACGGATTTCCGCTACACTTTACGAACCGAGGGCAGTGGATCGTATTGCGTACACTAACTATGCAAGATATATGCGCATTATTGGCTTTCTTTTTCAGTTTTTGGCCAAGTCCAAGCCACAATCGCCATATGGAAACCAGTGTTTCAAGATAATAAGGTTGTTTTTCCCACGCGTATCTTAATGTGCTCATTCCTCTATAAGCAATGCTTGACGAGGTCTCCTGTTAGTATATGCAAGGCGTGTCTGGCGGAATTCCAGCAACCTTATCTCCATAAGCTATGGCGTCGATCACTTAGCTCACTAAGCCCGAACCCCGAAAGCCGTTTATCCGTCTCAGGTGAGTTGGCCTGGTGGTACCTGTAATGCAATGGCGTTTTAGTTCGTGAGGTGCTCTCAACCCCACAAGGGTCTCAGCCCTGGAGAATTTGAGGTCGAGAACTCATTCTTTTTTTAGCTTGAAACATAGCCCCTGAAGCTTACAGAAACTCAATGGGACCCTTCTTTTCTCCTTGATTTTACCTATCACAAAAGAAAAGAAGCTTGCCCAAAAACGAATCATTCAAGGGGGAGATTAACTAGGACGTTGACAGAAGAGGAAGTGATCGTCCATACAGTTTCCTCCTTGGGACATTTGAAGCACCTTGCCAATCACCACCGAACGCCTCAGGCTGAAACACAACTCAATAGTTCGAGTTCATCCACAACGGAGTCCGGCATGGATGCCGAAAGTGTAGTTGCAACTTGTTACCATCGCAACCCCGTGCTCCTAACACAGCCATGCCACGAAATCGAAACGGGAAGTCGAGTCCGAAACAAACGACAGATCTTGGTTGAAAGCGTAGCTTTTTTTTTTCCCACGCATACGAACATGGCCTGTGCAGCCGGCTTATTTTGATGCAACGGCTCTGCCTTTGCCGGTAAGCCACCTTGTCAAACTACGGACCCTATCACATCCGAGTTGGCTGCAAACAAGGAACCTTTCTCGGAATCGGACTGGTACTCGTTAAGTCCGTCTTGGTCTACCTGACGAGTCTATTCTAGGCCTTGGAATTACATCGTCGAGATTTGTATAAAGGAGGATCGTAATATGCTCAGCCTTGGCTAACACGCATGCATTTTGATATTCGGCTCGCAAGTTGGTTTCATGAATCAAGGGATGACGGCACAGCCGCATCCCTGGAGCGCCGTTGGACTCATTATGCGAACGCTAGGACCGTGAAAATGATTTTTATATTATTTTATTTTGTTCCTTTTATTTGAGAAGGTAGAGTGAAAAAGATAATCATGATGACAATGCGATCCTTACATTGCTCAACCAGGCAAACATGGGATTACCGCAACATATCTTAGAACATATGCCATGAGAATTAAATATGAGGAATCGATGATAACCAATCCACAGTGGTGTAAGAACCAGCAGGCAACGCCCGGAGGGATATAAACATCAGGATGATACTTCCCCAGCGTGCGGTTGCATAACAGCAAAACCAGACCAAAACGAAAAGAAGGTCAAATGCCTTTGACCAGCTAGCACTTGAGACACGCTTCTCCTTGTCATCTGACGTACGTTGGAGGCAATAGAACGCCCAAAGGTATTTTAAGTATAGGGGCCAGATTATGAAGAGTGCAAATAGCGAGAAAACTCGCCATACTATTTGCTCCTGCCGTGTTGGGAACGTGGAGTTCCATCTGCGTATTTTCATTATCAGCTTTATCCAGTATTAAGAACATCGAAGGGTATAATAGTACGTACGCAGCGACATGTATTCCGCAAAAGGCCAGCCCACCAAACATGTAGAAATGAGCGATGTTGGTCCATTCCGTGATCGTCAATTTTTCGTCGTCTTCTATTGAATTCCTCATCTTTTGTGGCTTGGATGCTGGCTCGGTTTCCAAATCTTTGTTATCATTTCTGCTGGTCTCAGAGGACCTCACCAGTGGTTCTTTTCCTTGAGAGGTTTCCATCACGGCTAATTTTTCGTCAACTTTTGGTTCATTTTTCGGCTGTTGGGACTCTGATGCTGCTATGACACCATGGGGAATTTTCTCGCCCTGATCATCACCATTGATGATAACTGGCTCTGACTTTGGCTCATTGCAAAGTTCTTGGTTTATATAGCTACCATGATTGGTATGGGATGCCTCATTAGTCTCCTGGGGGGTTTCCTCGTCTTGGTGGCCACCATTGCGGGCATTAGAGGACTTGGCTGTTGCATTTTGAATTCTCACTTCCAGCTTTTCTTTCAACTCTTCCCATTTCCTATTCCATGACCAAGGTGCGCAAATAATTGATAGCAAAGTAAGTTGGAAATGGAAACTTGCGACAATGATTTGCCATATCGGAGAACCACTGTCTCTAGCGATAGCATCCGAGTGGACCCAGTTCCCAACTTCTTGGTCCAGGATATCTCTGACTTGAGGAGGCATACTTTCAGAGTCGCGATCGTAGGGCAGATAAATCGTGATTGGTGTTACCATATCCTTCGGTTTATTCCACCAGATTATATAGGTAGCGGCGGCACAAGAGACATAAGCCACTGTAGCAATCTCGAGGGCTGTAGTTGGCAGGCCGTATGCTCCTCTGGCAATAACATTGCAAGTCACCCAGAAGGCCTGGAGCAGAGTAAATCCTTTGGCAAAGGAGTCAGCTTTGGCACGGTCTTGGATGTCTCTAGCCCTCAAGTGAGATGGCTTGATAATGCGTGCTCCAATCAGGGCAACAACATTGCCACTGTGTACTGGATATGTCCAATCATCCTTGGTCTGCAGAAGAACACCATTCATGCCAAGGCAAAACCCCTGGATGCTGTTCCAGCGACCGTCAAGTTCTTCTGTCTTTGGTATTTTTGGAACCTCCGAGGAGTCTGACTCATTTCGTTCGCTGTTTACTATGCGGAAAGCAGCATTACAGCGTGCCACTGCAGATCTTGCTTGCCATAGTTCTTCGGCTGCAGTTCCAGCCATGAACTCTGGAGCAAGTATCGTGCCTACCCACGCCGCTGCCTTCAACCAAAGATATTCTGCCTGTGTCTCAACACGGGTTGGGACAGAGATGTGTAGAGCTGTCCATGTGCAAGCAAGAATTGTTGAAACACAAGTCCAGAAAATGTCCCAACTTGAGCGTGTGTTGTCATCCAACTGCCAACCTTCTAGGGCCGTCGAATTGGACTGGGCGAGTGATTGGTTGACAAAGCCAAGCAAAAGTAGAAGCGCAAACATGACGTGTGCCTGAATTTGGCGATGAAAGATGCAGAAGATTTAAGAGGCTAAGAAAAAACAGAAGGGGTTTAGCTCGACAACTAGCCACGTGATGTGATACTATATAGAAAATGTCCACAAGCAGACAGAATGGTGTTACATTCGGCAATTGGCTACTAGCGGATTCCTATCTCACTCACTGTATCCCAGAGTAAATCTGAAGCTTATACCGGTAGACGGAGGAAGGCAAAATCTTGTGGATCAAAGTTCGTCGGACAGAATGTGATGTTGACACTCGACCAGCTGACACATTCCTACATCAAAAGATATAAACAGAGCCTAAGCCACCTACCCCAACTCTTATTTGGACCAGTAATTATTCCATAAACAACTCAACGATCTCTTTCTCTTCTGCAGAATGAAGGCCACTGTCTTCTTCCTTGTTCTTGTGAATGGAGCCATGGTACTGGCGACCCCGGCAATTGAGTGGAATAACAAAGCTCCTCCCTCTGCCAGTGGATACTATCCATTGTGTGTCAAAATAGATAGGTCAATCAAACAATTTATTGACAATCCTATAGTGCAGACCCTGACTGTGGTGTTGCTAGCACCTTCTGCCAGTGTAGAGATAGTAAGGGCTCTATAACTCTCCTAGAAAATTACCAATTTGAACAAAACATACTCATATAAGCAACACGACGCTTTTATCTCTTCAACCGTGCTACCGGGAACTGTGACCCTCCGTGGGGCTATATTGGTGACTCGGTGAGGTCACTTCCAGGATATCACTGCAGGAAATAAACGGGAGATGTCAAGTCCCTCAATCACATAGTGGCAACCCGTCAATAATATGATGGAAAGTAACATTGCGCTACTATGGGATTGGGTTACGTTATGTAGTAGATATTGTTGATGTATCTTATGGAGAAGTCTCAATATCTTGAACAATGAATCCTTGATTATGGTAGTTTTATCTACCTCCATTGGTTATTTTGTGATCTTGTTCGACGGCAATGGACTATGCGACCCATTGGATTGAAAATCAAAAGTCTCATCAGTCACATATATCCTATATAGTAGGTATTAAATTGGCCCATGACAACCTACGGCCAGAAAATATTGTCCATGATTGCAGTAGGCCCAAGGTGACCGGGTTTAATTGAACATCCGGAATTTAGCACACTTTTAAATACTCGCTTAATGCTACGAGGAACAGATCTGAGGGAAGCTGATTTAAATTATGATATGACTGAGAATTACTATATTCTAGGAAAGTAAATCCTCCGAATATAGGTGTTACATCAATAGATTCAATATTTGTGTCTGTTGAGCCGGCGAGAAAAAAGTACAAAACAGAGAACATGCAGGAAGCGAAGCTGAAACTAGAGACAAGTTACCGAGAGCTAGCTGCCAAAAGCACGGAGGGAAAGAGAAACCCAGAGAGAGAGCGTGATATATCTACGTAGGTGCTGAACACACGACACATGATATGACATCCATGGATGTGATATCCGATCAACAGTCTTGGATAATATCTTTCGAGGCGCCTTCTGCTTTAGAAGATATCTATGGATCAATACAGTCATACTGCTTGTATCGGTTGTCTTCTCTCCGCCACTTCAGTCCTCTAGAATCAGCTTTTTTTTTTTCTTTTTTGTTCCTTAGCCACCCTACTTCTTCTCTTTCACAAAGCAGGACTCTCTATCATCATTTACCACCACTGACTATTCTGAACCATGACTCCACCTTTCCAGTGCGTTGTTCCGTCACGTTCGCCTTGCTATGACAAGCAAAGCGAAGAACCGAGTCAAGGTGGCCGAAATCGACGTAGCTACTGCCCGGACTACTGCCATTCGGTGCTCATTCGAAGACCGAGGTAGCGGCAAAACCAAAGTGGCATATTCCCATTCGCAAACCAGAGTCATTCTTTGTAAGGCAAATACTCTGGTCGACGAGTCAAACGGCGACGACTTTGTTGAGATATGCCAAAGACCTCGACGTTTCATGTACGTTGACCCTCGGTTTGTTAGGCAAATCGAGGCCCATCCCGAGCTGCGCCCCTTTGTCAACGGTGCCTACACGGATGATAATGGGAAAATTATAAGGAGTCCGGCCAAAGGACAAGAGCCTGTCGCCCAGGACCGAGACAGATGTCCACCAGAACGAAGACAGCCACTGCCTTTGAGACGATCGATTAAGGCAACCATCCAATCCAGCGAGGTGTTGTAGCATTCATTGTACACGTTTTCCATGGGGTTACATCTGCGTACATGTTTTGTTTTGCGGCGGAAATAGCAGGCAGCAGCGCAGAGATGCTCGGAGATAGGTGTTCAGGCGTGAAATTGGATAGAAACAGCTCAATCTTACCAAATCGTTCGCTTTAACTAGGTTTTTACGGCATGTCTTAAAGGCTCTTTAAAACTCCCAGTAAGGACTATTTTCGGCATCCCCTCCGTAGTGGGGAAGAATTATATAGTAGTAGATTAAGGATTGCTCCACTAAATTGTATTTTTGAGTCAGACACATATAGTTTTTTTGCATTAGAAGTTCTACTATGACTTGGACTCTGCCGTCCTTTTTTCAATGGAAAAAAAAGGACAAAAAAAAGATAGCACGACGGCTGCATGATTCGAACATGCGCCCACGAATGGAA